AAAAAAAGGGCTCCAAGACTTATCGAATCCTCCTGCTTCTGGCATTGAACCACTCAGCCCACAAGAATTTGAAAAATACGCACCAATCTTCGAACGCTTGGTCAACTCCCAGAAAGTGGCCCTTGATCTGCACAACGGCCGGCTTTGGAGGCACAGCGGCAAATCAAAAAATACATCTTTGGAACAGCTGATGACAAATGAAATTGGTAAGATAGGACGGCAGGTCAGTCATTTACTTCTATTACGTCTCTCTCAAACATCACCACTGATGTGACATTGTATGAACAGCTGCACGTTTTGAAAACCCAATTCAAACTACAATTTCACCGCTCTTTTATGAAGAGTACACGTCATGTGAAAGGTGGGCACAGGCAGAGCAGAAGACTCATCTGCTGGAACAATTTACATTTGAATCAACAAAGGCCCCACATCATCTCCGCAAAAAAACTGATGGGCCAAAGCATCAGTCCCCCGCTGCCATCCAACAGGCTGAACGCCGCACCAAACTAGCAAAAACCCTCAACGATTTGATCAGTGAGCTTTTAAGTCTTATTTCGTTTATCATCTTGGTTTGTCTGCCCAATCAACTTGCACGCTGACATCGCTCTTATCTCAAACTAGCCCCCTTTCTGCGCAATGGCTATCAAGGAAAGGGAGACGCACACCCCAAATGTGCCAATCTGCCGGAAGCATTACGCAAAAAAGACTTCCAAGGCGGTGTAAAGCTTGAAATTCATCACACCCCAGAGAGTCGCATTACTGATAGCATGATTTCCAAGGGGGCCAGCTCTCTTACCAATGACTAAGTGGAGATATGGCTTGACGATGTTATAAAGAAAAACTACACCGTAGTCAAGGTTAAACCGACCAAGGCGGATTTACCACAAGATGAAGATGCCAAATCACACCAATCCATCTCCGACACCGCTTCTACCCCCTTATATTTGACTGAAGCTGAAATCATCAGAGAGCTTACTGCCCATACTGAGGAAGGAAGTCCATGTCCATGATTTCACCGTCTTCTAAACATCAAATATTGTAAACATCGAATATAATTGTAATACATATTGCAATCAGTTCGTACAAGTAATTTCAGCCAATTGACCTCGATACATTGTAGAACTCCTACGCTGTGGAGCGTAGGCAGAGCCTCGAGGGGAAGAAACAACCTAAGTAGGATAAACCGCCAAGAGCCGTAACTGAAACGCCGCTAAGCTTCCCTCAAATTTTGCAATGAGACACTTCTTCAACCTTACTTCCACCCAAATAAGCTTTCCAACCTTGAATATCCAATCTGCAAGCTTTTGTTCAGTTTTTTTAAGAATCCCCGTAAAGGTCCTACGGTTCAAAAACAGATGTAAACAAGCTGTTTTTACTACGTTCCCCAATGCAGTTCTCAAAAAAAACTTTCCCGCAGCAAGTAAAAAAAATAAAAAAAACCTTGATTTTCCTCCAAAACCTTGTTCTTCAACTTCTACTGAATTCAACACTACCCTACACGTCCTAACAGTCTTAAAACCCAGGGAATTACACTTGTAACAGTGTAATTCACCCTAATACCCCAGGTCAAAAACCCTAGGATAGCTAAGTAAAATATTGAAAATAATAAAAAATTAAATAATAATAATCCTAAATTCAAAATCCCAAGTATATAAGGGTTTTTGAATCCACCAATAACACCTCTAATAACCGCAATCTTTATAATAAAAGGTAAGTCTTTTATTTAAGACCTGTCCTTCTTCTCTACGTACTTGCTCTACTGAAGCGCTGAAATAGACTGCTAACACTTCCAAGCCTCAACCCTGTTCAGCTTTTGCTTTTTGATAAAGCAACTCGAGCGACTCGAATGGGACACTGTGAAAATGATGTGTTTCTCCCCAGCAAAAAATGATTGCATTTTTGGAAAAATGATTGACAAAAAATTGTACCTGGAATTGTGGGCCCAGTTGTGGCCCAAAATGCTTGGAAAAAGATCTGGAGAGAGATACAACGCTCTTTGTCCTGCAACGTTTTTTTGGGGTTGCTTAAAGCCTCATACTCAGCATGAACCCAGCAAGCAATTTTTAATGTTTTTACCAGCTTTTTCCCTCTCAAAGAAGTCCAAAAAATCCGGAAAAAATCAGGAGAGATCAGAAATCCCCTTTGTGATGTGTGGTGTCTTTTTCAGATTTTTTGATGCCTTTGTCTTGGATACATGCAGGTTAGAACATTGAAAGTCTGCCAAATAAAGTTTAAATGCATTTTGGTTCACAGGGGCATCAAAATTCCACACGCTGTCTCCAAACCATGTACAGATGATCTTGCATCCTTTGTTGTGC